TATATATTTGTTGTCAAAATACCTTTTAGTACATATGTTGTTAAAATAAAATCAACAGTCCAATGATCATTTTACTGATATGTATAAAGACTGCAAAGGCTGAAAAATCTTGAAGTCTGTATGAAATTGGAGGTAGTTTGAGGATTAAATCTTTATGCTTTTTAAGCTCAAAAAAAGGGGGGGGGGATCGTATTATACATGAGATCGTATTATACATGAATAATTACGGTAGTTTTATCACTCAGTACTGAGGGAAGGACTTCTACTCTGCAAACTGCAACTGTCTTCAGTCACTCAGAGGTTGTTATGGGATCCGCTGCCCAAGCTGATAAGACCAGGGGTCTAGACCAGTGGTTCCCAAAGTTGGGGTCGGGACCCAAAGTGGGGTCCCGAAACATCAAGGTGGGGTCCTGAAAAGATTTTCTGAATTAATTACACTAAAAAAATTACAACTATCAATAATTTTTTGTCTTTGTTGTTACAAATGAGTAAAGTTAGTGTACTTAAAATGGACAAAAAGAGAGTAATAAATAATGTTACTGTGCTCTTGTTTGTTTGACGTGAAACTAATGTTCATCAACCAACAACAGCTGGGGTCGCAGGTCTCTGCTGCTGGCATTTTGGTCTAGATGATTAGAAGAACGGATGGATGATGCAATGTAATATTACAAATGGCACTGTTACCATTTCATTTTTGTTAAGGTATTCTGAAGACTTGAAAAGAGGTAAGAAAAGAATTACTAACATAACGAAGGAGCTGATGGTTGATGTACATAAATCTGGAGCAGCAGCAGCAGCAGATACAGCAGAATGTCCTTTGAGAAGTAGACGCGATGTTTACCTTGTAAACATGCTCTCCTGCTCTTCGGTTTATTTCAGGCCAGTGAATTAAACACATACAGAATGTACTGAGCCTCTCCCACGCAGGGTCATGTGATAAAGCCCGCCCCGTGGCCACAGCCAATATTTGACCTCTGTTTAAGCAAACATCATTACAGGGATGCTCAGGCAGGCCTGAGGAAAACCTTCAGAGGGAAGTGGACTCATCTTCACTGGGGTGACTGAGCCATGGAGGGGAGCACAAACTGAGCTGTATGAGCCTAAAATAAGATGCTTCCTTCAACCCAGAGAAATCAATCGAGCCCAGTGTAAGCACCGACTTATGTAATGAGTTTTACAGGACTTGTATGTGTACGTTTGTTTTGGGGTTGAGGGTATGACGGAGATCAGAGCAGTAAGACGTCAAACACTACATTTCCTCTCTTCAACAGTGACCACTGGGGGGAGATGCCTTCAGGTGAGACGAACAATTCTGCTTAAAAAGTGTTTTTTTTTTTTTAAATTTTGTGTAGAGGTTGAGATGGAAACTGGCCTGTATTATGTACTTGTTTCAGCACGAGCAGTCCTCTTCAGCTGTGCTCCCCAGAAAGGATCAGATCGTTACAGAAAGGATTTGACACATTTATGGACCTTTTCAGATACCTGTTTAGCGCAGTGGTTCCCAAAGTTTTCAGCTTTTGACCCACAAAATAACAGTAGCAGAGACCTGTGCCCCCAGCTATTTTTGGATGATAAACATTTGTATCAGGTCAACTAAACACGGGCATAGTAACAATATTTTTATACTACATTTATCCATTTTAAATACACTAACCTCACTCCTTTGTAACAACTAAGGCAAAAACGTCATTAATTCAGAAAATCTTTTCAGGACCCCACCTTGATGTTTCGGGACCCCACTTTGGGTCCCGACCCCAACTTTGGGAAACACTGGTTTAGCGTATAAAACGTCCTAACCCTAAAGTCAAACTCCTTRAAAGTCAGTTTTTGTTTGTAACGAGCCACTGCTGATGGCGGCTGCCAGTGTCGTCTCTGTAATTAAAAGCTGTGCGCCTCAGCAAGCCTGGAGGTGTGGGGCTGCTCCATGTAATGAGCCTCACAACACAAAGGCTTCATCCTTCTGGTAAATCCTCTCCTTCACTCATCATTATTCAATACCGTTACCATTTAACGAGTGAAAAGATTCTGATATGAATTTTTAAGAAAACAAGCACAATCACACAAATATTGACACAAAAATCCGATTTAAAATGACGTCAGCACAGTCCCAGCCCAGTTTAACGCCAGAGCTGTTAGGAGACAACAAAAACAGCTGTTTGTTCAGATAAACTCCTCTCTCTTCCAGGGAGACACTTTATTTGGAGGTCTCACGGTGAGTTTACACAGCAGCAGGATGACAGTGAGAAAAGCAGACATCTTAATCATACACTATTTGTATCTGAGGCGTGTGGCGACATGAGCAGAGAACACAGAGCTGAACAGGAGCCTCCTGGGAACACAAAGAGACAGATCTGAGCAGCAAACTGTGGTTCAAACTGATCTGATCACATTATTCATTACATTCAGACAAGAAGCACAGTGACCCTCTCTTTTAACATTAAGGTGTTTATGTATCAAGACCTAATAATGATCTGATTTTACCAGCTTCTATATTCATACAAATCCAAACTCAAGAGAACAAAAACCCAACAGATTCAATCATTTCTTAAACTAAACTAAAGCTGTGTGAAAAGCCCAGCTGATTCCACAGAATTTAATTAGTTCAGTATCAATCAGGAGCTGCAGATCATCTGGATTAATTAGACATTATCAGTATAAAATCGGGAGTTTGGAGCATACAGGTATGTTTAAAGGGCCAATACTTTGTGTTTCTCAGACATACATTAAAATACTATACCATAATAAAGTATCTATGTCACCTTTAATTGTTATTAAAATGCAGTTTTTATGTTTAAATAGAAAATAAACATCTTCTCATCACTTCCTCTTCTAAACACATTGAAATTGGCCTCTGTCTCTTTAAGAACCACCTTCCGCTTCTGTCTCACCCATTTCAGTGC